TGGACAACTGTCAGATCAGCAGTCTTCCCCATGATTGTGTAGCCTAGTGAACCAAACTGAGTGACCATTTTGAAGGCTCAGGACACCTTTGCAGGTGTTTTGAGTTGACTAGCTGAGTGGCATGTCACCATATTCTAATTTATTGAGATAGTGAATTGGTGGGTTTTTGTTAAATGTGGGCCAAAATCATCACAATTAAAAGACCCAACGGCTTAAACTACTTCAGTCTGTGTGGACTGAATGTATATAATACGTGAGTTTCATTATTTGAGTTGAATTACCGAAATAAATGGACTTTTCCATGATATTCTAATTTATTGAGCTGCACCTGTATTGTACATCAAGTATGAAAATGTATCATTGTTGGATCTTTTCGAGTCTCTCTTCCTTTTAACAGTTCATAACTTGTAAACCTTAGAACAACTTTAAAGAAGTACACACACAGTTTTCTGCAAATCCCCCTTACTAGTCCCTGTCTCCTGCACTCTGTCAGACCTGAGCCTTCTCCTTTGTGTATCCCACAATGCCCCCTGCTGCTGTCTTTTTAACAGCATTACAATGGGTGCCCTTTACATTACATCTCACTGGCCTGCAGCGGGGGAGCAGCTGTGGAATTTGAATACTTGCCCTTGTTTTACCACAACTTTTTTGTTACAGGACGGTTACCGTAGTAACAGTCCAAACATCAATTACCAATACTGAGGACGCCCTGTAAACCAAAAGGTCGGTGCCATACACAGACATTTATCACACTAAAATGTTGTTTCATGTCATTCAACCAAACTTATTCACATTATGTGGCTCTATTTGGTTAGAGTGAATCTCATTTACCTGCACAACTGCTGGTTCTATAGCAGTACTTCATTGGAAAGGAATGACTGGTGGGATTTTTTTGTTTTTGTTTATTGGTTTTTTGTTTTTTTTACTCTGGTGTGATGAGAATCTTGACTTGTCAGATGTAGTTTTCACACCTGAGGCAAATTGGTGCTTCAGTGCTCTGCTTGGTCTCATGCAGTTTGAAGTCTCATGGTGAAAACAGACCGATCACTACACTAAGTAACTCATCATCTGATCACTTGGCCACAGGGCTGCAAATGCTAACTCTGTTGCAATTTATATTATGGTGATGACATAAAAAAAAAATTAAAATCAAATATTGCTGTGTAAACTCAACACTACTTCTTGGTGTCTCTCCATATGGATTCTGCTGACCATGTAAAGATTTCTCATTTAAATATTGACAACTATACAAGTGGCTTGAGTTTGACATATAGAAGGAGTCAGACTTTTTCAATAAATATTTTATAAAACATTTTAAGAAAGGCTCAAATCAATCAATTAATAAAAAATACTTTTTCAAATTTCTCCCACATCTACATTTGAGCCACTAGATGGCAGCAGAGTATCTTGGTTTATCAGTCAGTAACAAAATCACTGCACCTGTTGCCTTACTTTTTTCAGTTATAACACTTTTACTTAGGTCATATATATATATTAAAAGCAAAAGTATTCAAAATTCGAGATGCAGTAAGGTTCAGCTTCTTTACTCGAAACACTGGCAACAGAACGAGCCACATGACTGACTTAAAAATCTTATAGAACCAAAATGTAGCAGCGAAATGAGACATTAGAATGAATCCAGTTAGAATTATTAGCAGTATCTAAGGTTGAAATCTACTTTTACACCCCCAATAACAATGAAGTATCTGATAGTATTAAACTAATTACACTGAAACCCACAAACCCAAAGTGTGTCTTTGAAAATGCAAATAAGCCCTTGTACCATTAATAATGCTTTTTGATAATTCAGCCTTTAGGATCCTGTTGAATCCTGATGAACATATGGACATGAAGACATAGCAATATCTTCATAGTATTGCAGGGTAGCCTTTCAGTGTTTTATATTGTCAACAATACTTTGGGATTTCATTTATAAATGTCAGGGGCATTTTTTTCTAGATTCTTGTGTAAGAGAGAGTAATAGCGTCATACAAACGCTGATATAAATGTCACATAAACCTGTTCCTGAGCTGAGGTGCTGAAGCAGTGTTGGTTTGTCCAGGAGCAGAGCTAATGTTGTACTGGACCAGAAGAAAAAAAGTCACAGAATGTCAACAGCAATAGTTTTCTTCTTGTCTTTCATTGAAGATGCCAAATACATTCAGATGTGAGTATTAGGACTAAATTGTCACCAGATGAGGTGGAGAAAGACACCACACAGTATGATGGTCTACATACAGTATAGTCTTATCCCAGAAGCATTGAGCAGTTTTGGCTACTACCAAAGACAAAGTCCTGCTATATGTACTGCATGGTATGCGATGTGTAATGGCTTGTGACTTGGCATGTTTAGCTTTAGACCAAAGATCATGTGTGAGGGATTATGTTCCTCCCAATCCCTCCTTATCCTCCAGCCAACACCTGAAGACGGGATCGTTCATTCTGATACTGCTGCAGGTCTTCTCATTGTTATATACAGTACCACCCATGCATTTAGTGAGCAAAGCATCCATATCGTCTTGTTTGTGGTGGGTAAAATAAACCGCTGAAGGATGTTCTCCTGCTCGACATCATGAAGCAGATGACTGGGATTAGAAACAACGGCAGCGCTCCGGGGAGGAGGAAGGAGGTCTCAGCAACACGATCCCTAGAAAGAGTGAGTCATAAGTCTGTTTTACAGTTTAAACCATTTTCAGTGGTTAGAAATAAAAAAAACACACATTTTTGGTTGCCTTTTAAATCCTCAAGCACTGAATTCTTCTTTATAATGTAATCATGAGTGCATTTGAGTTCAGAGATAGTTTGCTGTTTAGTTTCAGGGGACACTTTATACAGACTTGTGTCCTGATGATGACCTTACTCCCTGTCACAGTGTCTTCTCACTGCATCACTCTGACCTTTAACACAGTGTATGCACATAAATGCTTGTGCTACAGCCCATTATCAACATGCCAGGATTCCATTTGACTCATTCAGCCACAGGGATTATCAGTGAGAGTGAGAGGAACACTGGGATTAGCAGCCAGGCTAAATACAACTGCCTGTTTCTAAACAAATGTCCAGATGTCAGTAAAACACTACAGCAAAAAAATAATTGTTAAAATGCTGTGCAGTAAGCTCAGGATTCAAGTATGGTCGAGTGCTGATGCAAGAGATGCCTGACATCCACTTCGTTCTTCTGCCTTCAGGTCTGCATGACATGAACGCATGGTGAACATCAAGCCCCTGAACTGACCTCACAGATGCCAAGCGACAAGAACATTGACTGCACCAGACATGTGGTGAGGCACCAGTTTTATAAAATCTGCTTGCCTTTCCTATTAGCTCCAGGTGGCCGGGCCAGTGTCTTGCATGGCAGCTCCGCTGGCATCACTGTGTGTGAATGGGTGAATCTGTAAAGTGCTTTGTCCAGTAAGATAGAAACGCGCTATATAAATGCAGTCCCTTTACCATTTCGCATATTATTATTGAGTCAGTCCATAAATGATCGTGGCTGCCATTAAAGTAAAAAAAAAAGGTTTTTAGAACAATTCAAAGGATGGATGGATTTTCCTACTCAACTTATTTTTAAAAGGTGCTTTATAAGATGTATTTTTATTATTATTACTATACTGCATCAAAATTGAAAGCACTATATCATAACTACGTTCAAGTTGTTCAAATCCTGCTGAGAGTCAACATGGGGTTTTAAAATATAATACTACATTATTTATTTAATACTAGTGCTTTTACTGAAAACTTAAAAGGGTCATAATTACATTTAAAAGCCCCTATATTAGCACATCCTCTAAGTAAAGGTCAAAGGTTGATTCCTGTCATCCTGGCTGCTTCTGCCACCCAGCATCAGGTAAAAGGAGAGTTATTCCACAAACAGGCAGTGGTATCATTGCTGTTGCAAGAGGTTTTACTTTACTGCAAATATGT